AATAATAATAAAAAAAAGCAGAGAGGAAGGAGGGAGGATTTCACACCTCTTGTATCTGGAAGGTGGAGTTGTCTGATATCTCCCAGGGCATGGGCAGCACGAAGGAACAACCCATGACCTTGAGCTCCTGTGAGTGCTTGGTGACATGGCGTTGAGCATCCTCTCATCTCCCCGTGTGAATTTTTCTTTGTAGCTTGCTCCATCTGTACAAGCCCAGCTCACGAGTGCCGGATGAGCTGCTGTACGGGCGCATGGGCTATCTCTATGCTCTGATGTTTGTGAACAAGCACTTTGGACAGGAAAAGATCCCTCAAAGCCACATTCAGCAGGTACTGTGGCTTCTACTGATTCGTTCACTGTCTTTTCCCATGCAGCTCATCTTTGGGTCTGTAAACTCAATGCTAGATGCAGAGAAATCTTGCAACAAGAGAGAAACCACATCATGGTATACCCCTGCTGCTCTGCTTCCAGAGGGACAAAGCACCACACCTGCCATCTGTATAAATCCACAGGCAGTACTGAACTGGCATCCAGCTCATTCCCTTGTCCACACTCTTCCCTCAGCTTGGGCAGTAAAACAACTCTTTTGTTCTGGGTCAGGATGCTTGCTGTGCTGTGTCCAAGAAAGCAGCATTTTCCTCACCCGCATCTGTTCCCATCCATAGGTCTGTGAAGCAGTTATAGCCTCAGGAGAGAGCTTGGCCAAAAGGAGGAACTTCACAGCAAAGACCCCACTGATGTATGAGTGGTACCAGGAGTACTATGTAGGGGCAGCCCATGGTTTGGCTGGGATTTACTATTATCTCATGCAGGTAAGAAGATTTTAACAGCTTTTGTGTGTTTCTTTGAACAGGGGGGAGCATTTCAGTTGGCTCTTGGTGATGTCAGCCTAGGCAAGATCCCTTGTCTGATGGACTTACACCTGTGTTTGACCATGCATCAGGACTTTTGAGGTTTTCTCCAAGTCTGTGAGGTTGTATTTTCCACCCCTATGGAGATCTGTGGAGAAATGTGACCTGCATTATTCCAGCAGTTTCACATTGTGGAGTACTGTAGGTCAGCAGAGTATGAGCTTCCCCTTTCTGTGTTAATTGCTTATAAAATATTCCCATTTGTTGATCTCTACAGGCTTCCTGCATTTTTTGAGGTGGTTACTTGGCACAATATCAGATTATTACAGAGTGGGAACCTCTGTAAAGAAAAGTATGATGAAAGAGATTGCGTTCATAGTAGGAGATGCCTTTGTTTCCAAATCAGGGCCTATATTAAAAGAAGGTGGGACTTCATACTTGGATAAAGCAGCTGAGTTCTGTAATGCCTGCAGTAGGCAGGGTGAGACAAGAGGTTGGGAGCTGCAATGTCCCTTTGCTTTGATGCTGTCTTTCTCACTATTTTGCACAACTCACTGGAACTCAGAATATTCCCTTTCCTGGCTCCGAAACGAGGGTGATAATTCCCCTAGGTGGGTCACTTCATGCATAAATTTAGAGTGCTTAAGCTCTTGGAATATAACAGCAATAAATAACATTGAATTTGCAAAGCATTAAGGGCATCCACTGAGCAATGCAAATTATTTTAACATCACGATGTTCATAGAAATAGGTGATGTCTTTTATTAGACCCAGCTCTCACAGCAGGTGGAAAAAAGCTACCAGGTTTTAAGTATTTGAGGTTTTCCTTCAGGACCCTCAAAGTTCAAGGCCATATACAGAATAAGCAGAGTTCCTGGGTATATAAAGCTTAGAGAGGAAGGGGGGGTGGCTGCTGTTTGTTAAGCAGAAGAAGATTTGGCAATAGGAGGATGCGAGGTGATTGTTGCCCAGGAGTACAGAACGGCTAGTTGGGAGCAGGGGAGACAGCAGTGTGCACTGACTCCCTGAGCTTGATCCCAAGCTGATGTTTTGAATAATTTTAAGTGTAAGCTTCCCATAAAATACTACATGGGTTTGATGCTTTTCTGCCATTTGAAGTACAAGGAGCCTGGATCAGCCAAGTGTGATGCACAAAAAGCCTTGGGGGAAGCGAACAAGGGAAATACGGAGAGAAGAACACTGGACTTTTATCTCTAATAGTTTTACAGCACAAGTATTGATTTTTAATTTTCAATTTATCAACCTGGGAACAGTGTGATGCTTAGATGACAGCGCTCATTGCAGTCTGCTGTGGGAAATTAGAGTGGCACAGGTTTCACGTGGGGCAGTGTTGCTGGAAGAGGACCCTGAAGCCACTCCCTTGCTGCCATCTGAGGTCAGCGGTGAAGTCCCCCCTTGCAATTACCCAGAACCATCTGTGAAAATGCAGCTATCACAACCCACCAGCTGGGCTGGCCCAGCAGCTCAGAGCTGAGATGCTCTGGGTGCTAGGAATCGTGCCTGGTATTCATCATTAATACTCATTTCAGACAGTTTATCTCTTTACTCCAGCTCTGGCTACCTCAACCTATTCCTACTTGGGTTCAGGAAAAGAAGGGGCAAGCCCTTTTGCTTAGTGGGCTGGCTGACATGCTAGGGACAGTCTGTTTCTGGAGATACATGGGTGTGACAGGAAATAAGTCCCTGCCAAGGGGCAGAGCAGCCTAGGGCCAAGTGGATATTTGTGATGTGTGAAAGTCTGGGCCAGAGAAGTTACTTCATCTACAGGGAACATGACCACAGTTGACTTTGTTTCCACCTTTCAGGCAGATCTTGGGCCCCTTAGGGACAGACAAAATGGTAATTCCCCTTAACTGAATGCTTTTTCTCTCTTAGCCTAGCCTTGGAGTGAGCCAGGTAAAACTGCACAGCACAGTCAAACCCAGCGTGGACTATGTCTGCCAGCTCAAATTCCCATCTGGCAATTACCCTCCGTGCATCAATGATGACAGAGACCTGCTCGTCCACTGGTGCCATGGGGCACCAGGTGTTATCTACATGCTCCTCCAGGCCTACAAGGTACCAGAAATCTTGCAGAGACCCTTTGGAGATCCCTAAATGTGGAATTTTGTCATGGAGAAGATCCCACCTCCTGAGAGTAGGATGGTTATTTACAACAAAGTCATCCCACAGGGACCACTGACCGATATGAAAATTAGTTTTTTTCTGAAAAAAGTCCTTTTACAAATACCTGTCAGATGTGGGGAGTGTCCTGTTGCAGATGACTGATGGTGACAAGTAGTTGTGTGCAAAGTAATGACCATACAGCCCCATTCATCATATGAAAATCATCCTCCTTTAAACCAGACAGCAAAGTCACAGCATCGAGACGTCAGTACGAGAGAAGTGAATGAACCCAAGTGCCCCACTTTCACATGGATGCCCTTTGTGTGGAGGAAGCAGCCTCAGCAAGGGGGTTATTTCTTGTCTCTACAGGTCTTTGGGGAACAGCAGTACCTAAATGATGCCCTGCAGTGTGCAGAGGTGATCTGGCAGCATGGGTTACTGAGGAAAGGCTACGGGCTGTGCCACGGGGCAGCCGGCAATGCCTACGGCTTCCTAGCGCTGTACAACCTCACGCAGGACATGAAATACCTGTACAGGGCCTGCAAGGTAAGAGCCCGGGTGAGGAACAGAGAGGGGATTATTCACCTCTGCCTCTTCTGCCACTGCCTTTGCAAACCAGTTCCTCGTGTGGCAGAGACGCAGCTAGGTCTGACCAGCTCCACCAGAACGGTCCTTCAGCAGTACAGTCACTGTCTGACAGCCTGTACCGAAGGAAGATCCTGCAGAAGTCTTGCTCTGCAGGGGATGAGGGTGTTGGTTTCTCTTTTTTTTCATCTGTCTTTAACAAAATTTGAATGCTTTTTGTTCCTCTTTTTTCAGTTTGCAGAGTGGTGCTTAAGCTATGGCCAGCACGGGTGCCGGACTCCAGACACGCCGTTCTCTCTCTTTGAAGGTAACCTCTGTCTCTAGGCTTGTGTTTTGCTCCTGGGTCTGAGGCAGTCCAGCACCAAGGAAAACTGAAGTCTTCTCAAAGCTCAGCATAGAGGATGGGAAGGAAATTGTATTCACTGTTCTCATAAGCAGTCTTCTTTAGCCCAGGATGATGGTCTTAGCTGGAGTATCTTGACCTCTTGGGCTTCCCACACAGATTCTGCACAGAGGTCTCAAGGGGAATTCTTTCATGGGTACAGGCCAATGCCTACCTTATGGAAACATGTAGCCTGGCTTCTCAGGCAGTCTCCTTTCTGTGCATTTTCAAGGATTAAAGTCCTTCATGGGCTTTCCGGTTCCATTACAAAGGCTAGTGAGGAACAAATGGGGCTGCTTTTGTAGGCCTCGTTGGCTCCTGTGGCACTTTGTGGCTCCTACTAACAGCTCCACCAAAATCTGCCATCAGCAGGTATTGGTGAAAGAGCCAGTTCCTCAGCTAGCATAAATCTCCCCAGTTTTGCTGCAGGCCAAGAAACAAAGGCAGTGACATCAATGAGGACCTGAGGCAGCAATGTGACAGGGTCCAAAGTCTTGCAAAGATATCCAGGTTGTTAGACCTGTGGACAGGTAAAGCTGAAGAGAGGGAGCTGGAAAGACCCATCGTGTTTTTCTAGGTGCTTTTTAACACACGGTTAACTTTAAAATGCATTCCCCACTGAAGTGCCTAAGTTGTTTGGGAAGCGTAGGTTCAGACCTTGGAAATTAAGTATGTCCCTCTGAAAACATATTCCTTTCTGTGACTCATTCACCCCTTGGATAACTGATAAAACAGGTGCCCAGAGGGAATGTGTCTGAAGCACACTGTGTTCTCCTGTCCTCAGGAATGGCTGGGACAATTTACTTCCTCGCTGACCTGCTGGTGCCACCCAAGGCCAAGTTCCCTGCGTTTGAACTCTAAGTCTGAGCTGGGCAGTTTCCTGCCCGAATCCTCTGCACTTGGAAAAGCAGTTCAGTGCCGCTTTCTCCTTCCTCCAGACTCGTCGTTGTTCACATAACTGAACGTAAACCCATCCTCCCAAGGGCATGCTGAGTCCTCTAATGTTTCTAGGCATCTCATTGCATTGTTTCAGTTTAAAAGACAGAATGCAGATTTTGCTGGTATCTCAAATTCAGGGCTGCAGGTAGGAGCAGGGAGAAAATGTACAGTATTTTGTTGCCTGTAGAGTTTCTATTTTCTGTATCCCATCTCCTGGGAGAGTTTTCTAATGAATGTAACTTTGGCCATTTAATTGTTAAATTTTTGTGCTGGTTGCAGGAATTTAGTTGCCTCTGGAACACAAAAGATGAGAAACTAAAACTTGCCCTGCAAATTACTTTTTTTCTGAGCACCCAAAGACTAGGCAGCTCAGTAGCTGGGCTGCTCCACACGAAGCAAATGTGATGAGCTGTGGATTCTTTATGTGTGGGTTTTTTAATGTCAAATTGCAAGTGGCACAGCTGGAACTGAGATGCCAAAAGCCTTGTCCTGAATTTGCTCGTGTCTGCTTTAAAGGCAAGGCCATGTATAGCTCTTTGGTGTGTTTTTTTCAGTAGTGACAAATAGTCCACTAGGTTTTGTGCTTGTTTTGCTAAAACTTTCTAAAGTCCATTGATTATCTAATGGAAAACTGCGGTCTAAAAGTGAGCTAAGCATGCTTGCTGGTGTGGTCTCTTTGGGTCAGCTTTGAAAGTTTATTTTGCAGTCTTTATTTAAAATTGTGTCTGAATATTAAAGGTGTTAGGTGGTGCCAGGCCTACCAGCAGCAGCATGGGAAAAGAAATGTATTTCTCCTAGTTCTGACAGTGTTTAACCTATTAGCTGTAGAGATGTTGTTTACATGCTTTGTTTTATAAGCTTACCTGGATAATTTGAGTTACTTGTTACTGGTTGTTATAGTTTGATATACAACCACACAGTTACCCAGCTGGAAAATCCATCCCAGGTTAAATAGCTTTGACCATTGACATGGCTTTTGATCTTTTAAGGGCCCAGTTGCTGAGTGCCTCAAGGCCACCTAAGAGTGCACAAGCAGCTGCAAGGCAGTGTGGGCAACCCCCAAGTGCTAGTGGCAGCATGGTCCTGCAGTAGCAGTGGTGAGGCAGGAGGACCAAATGGGGCACACTAACACAGCTGGCTCACATGTGCCTGGCCACACAGAACACAAGGCAGCCAAGCCACAGCAGCATTGCCACACTCTCAGGAACTTCCTGGGTGGGCTGCTCTGGCAGAGTAGAAACCATTCCTGGAAGGCTTCCTGTTTGCTCAGAGCCCAACCTCCTGCTGCCATCACATTTCTGGAAGTTCATCAGGACGGCCTCAAGTGCAGAGAAGCTCATCTGCCTTGGACTGGGCATCCCTATCAGAAGCCTCAAGCTCATGCAGACTCAGCAGTGGTCTCCTATCATTCACAAGGCCTAAACACCACAGGAAGGTGACTGGAAAAGAGGAAGCACAGCCTTGAAAGCAGGATTTGGCTAATCAAACAGGCTGGAGGTGGGATCCTGTAGGCCATGAGGCCTGCTCTAAGTTACCTCACAGCTTGGCTGATGTGGTGGCAGCATGGGGACACTGCTCTGAGCCTGGGTTTCTCCTTGGCACTGCTTCTGTAAAGGAGATGGTTCATGCAGCCTGGTGTCACAGCAGGACCGTGTCCCAGGGTTCATACACTGTCAGGGGATCATCAGGGCCTAGTGTCCAGCTGCTGAGTGGAGGACTCTTTAATAAAAACAGTGAAACAAACAAGCTTTTGGTTATTTTTACCCCCTGCTTTGTGACCAGGATTCACATCTGAAGAGATAAAGATCTGCCACAACAGCCACTCTTGGTGGCTCCCCCCCCCCCCTTTGGCTCCTGGAGGCTTATTGGCCTCCCACCCACCCTGAGTGTTAGGAATATTTCACATTTTTCCTATCTCTAATTCATCAAAGCCTGCTGTGGCTTCCACTGGAGACTGCAGTCCTGCAAGTTAGTTTTGATTGCACCAAAATACACCTGCATGCAGCACTGACCACCAGAAAGAGGATGCAGATCCTCAAAAAAGGTACCCCCCTGCCCCATGGAAGGAGGGAGAGGGTGCTGCCTCAGGAGGCTGTCACTGTCCAGCACCAGAGTCTTCAAGACCAGACTGTTGGGAATGGTATGGGTAAAGGTGATCCTGCCCTCCAGCACAGGTCCTGTGAAACCTGTTTTTCTACAGTTTTCTATTTCTGCTAAGGTTTGTGGTAAAGCTCTCCAGGAAGAGGTTTGAGCAGACAGGATGGGGAAGCAGCATAGAGCAGTTTCTCTGGGTGCCTGCCCTTTCTCACAAAGGGGTGTGGTGCTGCCCACTTCCACCCACCTTCACGCCAAGCAGAGGGAGCAGGAACACCAAGCCTTAAAACACCAGGCTGCTGCTTCAACAAGCTACCTGAGAGGGACTATCAAAATTGTAGACATTTAACACTTAGTTCTTGGTGGTGATTATGTTTGTCCATGGTGGTGGTCTGTTTGTAAAAAAATCAACTGCCTTATACTCCCAAGACGTAAAAGCCACTTTTTGAATACGTTGCCATCGGGCTCTGTGTGTGTTCACCTCCTGTGTATACCAGTGTGATTAGCAAGATTAAAAGCTTCCCCAGTACTGGTAACCACAAACATCATAGAATCAAAGGTTGGAACAGACCCCCAGGCCCAACTGTCAACCCAACACTACCATGACCACTAAACCATGTCCTGAAGTGCCACATCCACACATTTTTTGAACCCCACCAGCTCCCTGTTCAGCCTGGTCCAATGCCTCACCACTCTTAGGAGGAAGGAAATTCTTCCTCATATCAAACCTAAACCTCTCCTACTGCAACTTAACCCCATTTCCTCTCATCCTATCGCTGGTTACTTGGGAAAAGAGACCAACACCCACCTCACTACAGCCTCCCCTCAGGTAGTGAAGGCACCTGTAGATGTGGATCTCCCCCAAGAGCCTGCTGTGGTTTCAGCTCTCAAGAGCTGACAGCAGCCTCAGCTATGCAAGAGGTGACATAAGGACAGCGCAAGGGGACAGGTACCTTAGTGCTGCCTCTGCCCAACTTACTTCATTTCTCATTCCCACACTAACTTCTCAGACACCCACAAGCTGTGGTCAGCCCTGATGCTGAAGCCGTGGCTAACGCGGCGCTGCCAAGCCAGTCGCCCTCATGAGCTCAGCTGACAGAGGGGGCTACGTCCCAGGGCAGTTGTTTAATGCACACTGCTTTTACCCTGAAGCCACTTCAGAGCAGGCTGCTGGCTGCAGCGTGACAGAGACCCGCCTCGTCTTGTTAGGGAAAAAGCACAGCAGGAGAGCAATGTGGCCTCCACAAGCCCCAGCTTGGCCTCCTGCCCCAGCAGGGACCCTGCTCCTGTCTGACGGGCATGGAGTGGGCGAGGAGGAGGACTAAGGTTGCGCGTCCCACGTGTCGTACCACAAAAGTGGCTGGGGGTGAAGCAGCCATGCAGGGCACCAAGCTGCTGATGAGGGGCTTCATTTACATGAGTTACCCAGCCAGACTTCATTTCTCTCCAGTATTTCATCTGACTTTGTCCCTCTGCACTACTATCTCACCTTTCCCCTCTTATTTTCTTCATGTTTTTCCACTACATGTAATACCTTCACCAAATCTGAGTAGGGTATTCAGATGGTAACATGAAGGGAATGTGACTGGTCCCAGTGAGACCACAAGTCTTGCTCCGGGCCAGCAAGATCCCATCACATACAGCTGATTTGCTGCAAGACCTTTTTTCTGTCTTTCTAATTTTTTTGTTTTGTTTTTTTTTTTACACTGCGAAGAACAACACAGATCTTCCTGCCCAGAAGATTGGCCAAAGTGTCCCCCATGTCCCTTTACCTACAACGAGGAAAGAAACCTGAACTGAAGGCCAGTACCCAGACCAGGAAATCTAAACCCCAAAAGTTACAGCTCTCAATATTATGAAGTGCCTGAAGACAAAATCCAACAGAGCAGGAGGCAGTAGATCTGCTCAAAATAAGCACCTGAGGAAACATGCTAGAGTCCAGCTAGGCTTGCCACTGGAAGGGGAGCTGGCTTGGGGACAACCCTTGCTGAAGTGTGGGTGGAGGTGGCCTCAGGAAGGGGCCGTGTGCCCCAGCAGGTGGCAATGCAGCCTGAGAGCAGCAGTCAACCTGCGGCTGCCAAGCACATGCCCACACCCTGGCTGCTAAACTGTACCTCGAGGGAGCTGGGAGTCAGCTCCTGGGTAGCCCTGGGACTGTCACTCAATCCAAAAAGCCTCCACAGATGAGGTTGTATACTGTGTGGGATGACAGATGTGAGAAACGTGGAAACCCTTTGGAGTTGCACAGCCTCCAAGTCATATACAACCTCAAAAAAAAAAAACCAAAACAACCAAACAAAAGAGCACATCTTTTCCAGTCCTGCCTGCAGCTGCCCAAACTCCTCCACAAGCCCCCACATGGGAGGACAACTCATTCTGCTCTTCAGCCACATGGGGAAGTTTTCAGGGATATGCTCCACACATTGGGTGAAAATGCTCAATGCCTCCCCTTCTACAGTACTATAGACATTGCACGGGTTCTACCACCAATTGCTCACAACTTCCAAGAACTAAAGAGCCAACAGCCCCCACCCTCACAGGCTCTGTGAAGTCTCCTGCATTGAACATGCCTTCCCACATCGGATCTGGGGACATCCCAAAAAGGCAAGAGTATCCTGAAAACCCAGCTGGGCACATGCATAAGGATGCCAAGGCTCACTGAGATACTTTGATGTCAAGGGAAGAACCAAGCCTAGCTAAGGCTGAAATGGCTCCTGCAGATGGACTTCAAGTGCTGTCCCTTGAGACACAGACTGAAGCCAACAGGACGAGAGCAGCCTTGGGTCTCCCTAACCCTGCTGAGAGGCAGTTTTAGGAGTTTTCAGGCAACCCCTTGTTTCAGCCATGCATGGAGACAGAGGACCACCAGGCAGGGAACTGGGCCCCATAGAGTGGGGGGTTCAGGGCAGTAGGTTTTTCAGGGGGATCCTTGTGCACAGTGGTGTGCAACATCAGCATCCAAACTCACTCTCAGTGCAGCAGGAAGCAGCTAAGAAAGCTCAGGCCAACACAGACTCAGACCTCAAAGTCAGTATCATAGCTGGTGTGGGTGGACACTGCAGCATCTTCAGAACTGGGCCTTTCAACTTCCCAAGCACAGCTCGTTAACCCTGGGCAAAGAGGTAAGCATAGATTTCCTAA